CCCCAAAACCCCAAAACCCCAAAACCCCTCTTAACAATTTTTTACTTGAATTATAAATATATTTCTAAAGAAAATCAATAATGATACGTAAGCCGACATTATCTCCAGAAAAACAGCGCCAAATAGAAGAAATCACAAACATGTTCAACAAAATCGACCTCGACTGCTCTGGAGAAGTTGAGCCTATCGAAATCTATACTTTATTCAAAACCTCAGGCTACATGATAACAAAAGAGGAGATTATAGAGCTGTTCTTCAACAAGTCTTCTACAATCACACTTGAAGAGTTCTTGCAGAAGTCTAAGGATGAAGAGTATAGGGCTAAGTTTAGGCAAGTTATGAGGAATATTAGGAAGAAAATGAAACTCAAAAGATTTCATGGTTATGAAGAAAGAGACCCTCAGAACCTTGATGGACAATTAGTAAGTAATAGGCATTCTGAATTTTATTTCTAAAAATTACAAATTGACATATTCATAAAATGTTAAGAGGCCTCTCATTCCCTTGCTCGTGACTGAATTGTAAACAAACCTCTTGTGCCAGATTATGCATTTGTGTTAAAATAGTCTAAAGTCTTCCGACTCTTATAAACCAAGATAAATTTCTTTATAACTAAGAATCTGTCAGAATAAGAAAATAAAAAATGCGGATAAGGTCATTAAAATCTCTTATGTCACCAAATTTCACAGTGAAATTTCAAGATATTTTTCATATTGACTCTACATTTAGACCTCGATATCTTTTGACAGTGTGCTGTTCCATCTCTCTGTCAACCAAAAACGAGATGACCTGCGTAAAAGAATCTTAGACCCAGAAGGAAGAAGTGGCAAGGAAGAAATTGAGATTCGGCAAGACCTTGAAAACTTCAAATAAACTATTGTAAATCTTTCCTTAACCCCTATAGCCAAGTTGGTCATGATGAAGAAAAGTTCTTCAACGAAGACAGAGAATTTGTTAAGAGACTTACATTGAAATAAACAGGAGGAATCCATGAAATTATCTAAAATCTCTTCACAGAGGAAAACTCCATTTGATAAGTACTCTCCAGTCAGAGAGTCTGACTCTGAAGGTTATAATATGATTAAATAGCCTGATTAAACCCGAATATAGCATAAACAAGGGATATGGCAACGTCATTTGTATTAATAATGACAGTTTTGATAACAGGAATAACTTTGCAACGGGAGATAATACCTCAAAAAGTCAAACATATGACTTCAAAAAGAGCACTCAAACCCGGGATGAGTCTTTAAACAATGAGTCTGCTAATTTCCAAGCAAGGGCTTATGATGAAACTCCTGAAATATCAAGGAATATGGGGAAGTCCAGAAACTTGTCCTCTTCCAAAACTGGATCTAGAAGCTACAATATTAACCAATGTATCACTGGTAACTTATTAAAACAATTACATATAGATGCAATCACTAATGCTAAAAAGAACTATAAGAGTAACAGATGCTTCTAATTTGTAGGAAGAATTCTCCATCTCAATAATGATTCCTCCAGCCAGTATTACGGAGACAAGGAGCTTCCTAACTGAGTTAGCTTCAGAGGTAATTGTCCTTTGTTGATAGCACAGTTTCTAAAAGAAAAGCAAAATTTAGTCCAATGAAAATAAAAAGAAAGATCGACCAAAGCAACAGAGAAAATAATCATCACAAACGAGACACTTCCTTCCCCAAACTTAAGATAGATGCTTACAAGAGTACTTCTCTCTTCTGATTTCTAGAATTCTTGGCCAAGACTAATCAGTTGCCTAGGTCAGGAAAGTCCTTGACCAGACCGAGGAAATCAACCAATTTGGTCAACATTAAGATCAACTCGGGGAGCAACGTAAGTGCAAAATAGCCCAGAATTTTATTATAATAGGCACTTTTTACACGTAAAATGAATACTAAAAAGACGATGAACATTCTAGACTTCCCAACACCCAGTAACAAAAGGTAAGCCTCCTATTTTCTCATGTGGTATTAGGCCAGATAAGTTGTTCTCCTTAAGGAGTACCAAAAGACCTCTTCATAGGGAAAATAAGTGGTATATTCTAAATTTATGCATAGAACAATCTCTAATTATATTAAAGAGAACAAGAAGTTTATTAAATTTATGGACAGAGAACTCAGAGAAAGGAGCCATAATGAAAGATCTACTAGCAATAACTCTCCATTTTTATAATCATATTAATGAAAAGGTTCTAACATTTCTCTAAATTTAAATTTATGATGACTCTTTGGGTCATGGAGCTAGCCAACCAAGGATAGCATAAAAAGAGAGCGGATAATGGCTATAAAATTTTCATAGAAAGATTATGCAGTAATTTTATGAAGAAAGTTTAATAATAAACGTCAAAAATACTCTCAGTAAATATTTAAGCCTTTTACCTCCCATTATTCCTTGTTTTCTTAAGCTGTTCCCTAAAAAGGCTGTATTGCCTGCTTATTTCTCTGATACACAATGTATATAACCTTGAACTTAATATAGCAATATTCCTGAGCACTAATGGCCTCTGTTTCTTCTTAAAATTCTGGTATTATCCACTAAAGTAAAAGATGCAATATTGATCCTTTCTGCAGAGAAAATTTTAGCTTTGTTGTTAGCTTAGATTTCTATGGAAAGAGGTATCCCAGCCCCTGCAGAAATTTGATAGTCTTGACTACACCCGTAATGAAAAGAGTTATTCCTCTTGATTGTGGGAACAGAAATGTAGGAAAAGTTATTAGATGGTTTTTAATATTATTTGATCGATTTTCTATTATGATAAGAAGGTATTAATGAAATATGACGAGAAAAAGTGCTGATTCTCTAAATAATAGTCAGCATTAATGAAATTTGATGGGTAACTACTATCTGGGGTTAGGATTCCTACATATATGAGCGGAAATAGTAATTAGAAACTGATACTAACCAAGATTAAAGAATCTTTTCCTCATATTTTATCAATTAAATTATAATCATCATCGTTCATTCCTTTGCTTTTAAGCTGGGGTTTTGGGGTTTTGGGGTTTTGGGGTTTTGGGGTTTTGGGG